CACCTTTCCCCACGCATATTCTAGCTGTCGATATATAGAAAGCAGAGTTTTTACTAAATATCACCTGATAGGATTAAACTATAGCCTAAATTCAACCTTGGTTTACATTATAGCCCCTACTATTTTATTTAGTTTTCTACAAAATGAGTTCCCTGATAGTCGTCGTCATCATGCCCGAGCATGTAATCCTACTGTTGTTAAATTGTAATCTTGTGTATTCTTCGTTTTATATGTTACCGTTTTGTGCGAACACGACCCAGGGTTTGACAATACGAATTTATTACCGTATTTCTTGTTATCTAATAAAAACGTTAAGATTTTGTAACTTTGAATGACACATGTGCCATTCGTTGAACGAAAAACATCGTTAAATAGGCCTGAAGAGACATCGTTCTCGAAAGATAAAATCTGTGCATAATTGTTTGTACCGCCGTTAAGTTATTGCGTCGACGGAGTTACACATGCATTGATGCCGCACAGTGTGTGTATTTCGGATAGGATAGAGCCTATAAATTATTAACATAATGATTGAAACTTCGTAATTTGATTAAACTAACTGATATACGGTAAGTATTTCCACATTTTCGATACCACCGATTCGTTTGTTAATGTATTTAAAAGCTAGAATCGGGCCGATAATATTGCATGATATGAGGCCCTTAATATACCGTATATCATGGCAAAACTATGCCTACCGGAGATAGTACAGGCTTTACATTTGGCAAAATGTTCGTTAACTCTACGGTCAGATTCTAAGTATCGAAGAGTATGTGGTGACTGTCTAGTTGTCTGCGACATACATACATACACACGCACGTTCAACCACCGTTCACCGTTGCATACGGTACTGTAGGCTATATATAATAGGCCTATACATACGGATTATACTGCATCCATAAAAAATATAGGCCTATGTATAAAGGATATACCTACATCAGGGCTTCCGTGTGTAAATTTTCGCTCGCTCAGGTTTCTTCATCTTTACAGCGCACAAGGGTATGAGAAGGAATTTATTTTCTCCAGTTTACCTTTTCCCCCACCCCCAAGTTGCTCGGCTAGATACCGGTAACTCCTATTATTTTGTTCACCCTATCCATTCGAATAGCAACTAAACTGATATAGGACCTCGTCGACCCCACACCATGTCTCTCCCAACTCCCTCCAAGCATTATTATCCCTTTCCCTATCCATTTCATCCACGCTATAGCACCGCCACTGATATTTTTGTTTAAAAGACTGTCCTACTTTTTGTTTAAAAGTTTGTTTACAACATATATGTGACGGTCTAACTGTCGAGTGTGAACATAGAGCAAAGAACTTCGCTCTGGTGTGAATTAAAAGAAAATAAAAAAAGAAAATAAAAATTGTTGACGATACCGTGTGGTATTCTCAGAATTATACCAGTCATCGTCCTTGTCGGTGGGAATCCATATCGAATTGATATGGCAACGAAGCGCGTGGCAACACAGGCGCACACCTGCAGAGGAAGCTCAACGAAACCTTTATTCCTTATTTATAAAACCTCAATTCTATTGACATCAATTATAGATGATAGGTACTTGAAACTTGTTATGTTTTTAAGCTATTGGTTTTTTAAGGCTGCCTTGTCACCTGGGTGTCCTTCAATTCGATGTCAATGAATAAATGACTAAATAAACAAAGGAGAAACAACTCATCGCCTTTTAGATGTCCGACTCATAAACACAGCTTTTGGGGTCTTCAAAAGTAACTGTAGCCTTTAATATGGCCTTCTTTCAAATTGTTTCATGCATTTGTACTGATTGAAGGTATTAATACCCTAAACAGGATCTACTGCCTCTTAAACCGAAAATAGCCGAAATGTGTGAATTTCGAGGTCGAGGGGCGTTACAGAAGTTAGGAGCAGTTGAATAAAGTTGTACAGCCATTCAGATTTTTACGAAGGTATTGTTTGCCCTGGTTTGCCGTTGCCTTTCTACATCTACATTCGAAACAACTACCAATTATAGTTCATCGGTGACCGATCATAGTGAGTGGCATTGCGAAAGGTCTTATAGAACAATTGACTAATGGGGCACGGACATTGCCAAAATTCGTTCTTTTATTCCGAATTGGTATTAAACACGAGGTAAGCAACTCACAAAACAGGCTTATCATAAACGAGGCAGTAAATGAACAGGGAATGTCAGTAAACACCATTTGTCTTAATGCTTTTCCCGAATCATTCTTGAGTATCCTGTCGCGTATAAAGGCATGTCCGTTCTGCAAGGCCAACATGATCGAGTAATGATTGAATTGCACACCCACGAGACATTCTTAATTCTCTTGTAGAATCACATTTTAAAAAAGCAATCAACATGACCTTGTAGACATGTCGATATTTACTTGTAAACGACATAACTTTGAAAACATATTATCATCTTTTGCTTAACGAGGGCAGATATTTGGTACTATTCTTCTGATACAACTACCTTTATAACACAATAGGTCTAAACCTAACCGTGCGTGTGGCACGCAATTTGGAATTACATCTGCAGTAATTTTACAAGCTTTTGGCTCGTTGCCTTCGAAATTCAAATGTGTGGATCAATGAGAAAAAAAATCGTCATCATAATCAATACACCAGGCCCTAACCAGGATTCCTGAAGGGTCCCTGAGAGATGGAGGTGGGGAGGGGAAGACTTTTGTAGTTTTGTAGAATACGTAGCTACTGGAGCTAAGCATCTTGCATGCAAATGTTAATATTCATCAATTTGACGCAGAAGAAGAGTTGTTTCGTTTATCAGAGGTGGGGCTGCAGTTCAAACGACCTACAGAACCTCGTTGCGGGCTTATACGAGTGTCTTCAATAAAGGAAATATTTTTTTTTTTTTTTTTTTTTTTTTGCGCATTTCTCTTGTGTCGTGTTTGTATACACGTATTTCCAGTTGATAATAAAAGCGGAATACATAAGGACAGTGCCAATCAGGATCATGAAAAACAGCATTAGGCCTATTTATTTTGTGAAAGAATGTTAGGCATACACCGTACCGTACTTTGCGTTCAATAAAGCATAACCTGGAATGTACTGCACAATTTATACTGTAAACTGATATTTGTACAATTCTATAGTAAATGATGGTTATCTTAATCTGTCGCCTTTCAAATTTTGGCGTCATAATAATAATAATAATAATAATGATCTTTAATTGTATTGACGCGTTCCGTTACACCTGATGTAAGGCATCAATATTGAAGTCTGGCAAAATCCAATTTTAAATTAGTGTGTTTTTCCTTCTTTTGCACCAAAATATATTGTATTGTTATTCGTGTTTTCATAGTGACCCCTTATTGTTACTGTTATTACTAAACTTGTATTAAAAAAAAAACAAAAAACGGTTGTTTGTGGAATGCATTGCGGCCTGTAGCAAATTTGGCTTCAAGCAAGCAATATTTGACAGTTAAGCTGGGAAGAAGAAGAATCATTTAAGTCTATTACTATAATAGGGCCGGTATTTCAAGGCGCACATAGCGAAATTCCTCCTAGTAGTGTATCTAAGGGACAGGGTGTTGAAATGGGGCTGATGGGGAGGGGACGATGGTGAACTGTAAGGGCTCGATGATATAGAAGGGGCGCTATCTGGTAAAATAAGGTGGTATTGAGGTGGTTTTTAACTACTTTAGCTTAGTTTTTGCCTTTAAAGATTTCCAGTGGGAAGCGGGGTGGGGTCTCGAGCTTTTAGTCAGAGGGCGTGTATAAGGCGTGCGGTCTGCTTTGCTTTGGCATCAGTTGAAATGACGTACCCAGGAAATTTATTATGCCACATTAACGGCGGTTTCTGTAGGAAAATGTAAGGTAAAAAGAAAGTATTTGATATTATGGATAGATCACACGATTGATTTCAAATTATTCAAGTTGTAGGAAAATGTAAGGTAAAAAGAAAGTATTTGATAATGGATACCGTAGATCACACGATTGATTTTAAATTATTCAAGTCCATTACCCATGCTTATGAGTAATTTGATTTTCGAAATAATTTATGGTAGGCCTAATAAACTAATATAACCAAACGCCATATCATTTACCGTTGATTAGCGGACGGAAGCAATGACGACGATGAACAAATGGAGCATGAAAGGCACGTGTTTAGACGAACCTAGCATCTGTGCAGAATCACCTGAACTTGGTCTGAACCCTGTTCGCTTTTATCAGTGGCGTATCTTTCGAGTATTTCCCTCCCCCGTAAACTGTTAGCATACACACAGGCACTCCATCCAGTGGGGGAGGGATGATAGGTCCCTGTCGGGGAGAGCACCCCACCCGTCGGGGAGAAAAACCGCGATTTGTCGTTGAGAGAAAAAAGTTACATGTATTTTCTACATGTTAGTGACCTCTAAAATCTATTCCAATAAGCCTTTGAAACCCCTAAATTGTCAAAGGTTTCTGGGGCTTCGCCCCTGGACCACTTTCGGAGTATTTTTAGCAACGCCCGACCACGACCACTTTGATCTCGTCGGGTACATCACCCCCCCCCCATCCCCCCCCCCCCCCCACCGACCATCGGAACCGTGGCGCCACTCCTGAAATTGGCAGAGCAAAACATATACTCATGGATGCAAAACATATACTCATGGATGGTGGTAGTTCAAAATCCCTTCATCCCAATCACCCTAATTCTCGCCCTCCTCCTCCCCATATTAATACACGGTTCGCTTTTTACCGTAGCATGCACGAGTATTTCTCCTCTGTATAAAATGTTTGTGATCCCAGGTGCTCTCCTTATTGAAATTTGACTAAGCAATATAAAAATACACTCATGTTATAGTTAAAAATCTGCTCATGGCAAATCATCTTACCTCCTCAGCTAATTCGCCCCTAACTTAATCCTCACCCCACCCACACAAAGACACACTTAATTCTCACCCTCCATCCTCATGTCGCACTCCTAGATACTATATTGACTTGCATTACAGTATATCATTTCTCTCAAGCAAATAGGCCTAAATATTGCCATATGTAAACATTATTGTATACCGTAGTTTCATTCACGGAAATTAATTGAACCCATAACTCTAGAATAGAAGGTAACTACTTTAACCTCAGCCGCACTATTGAATGTAAATTATTCTAAAGGATGTTAATCAAAGCTACACCCAATTGAGAAAAAGAAAACCCCAAAATTATTTTTAAACACTCCGATTTGCTTATACAATTAGTTATCGTTATCATTTACCAGTAGGAAACTTGGGCCAATTAATATGTAATTATTTCTATATGAATCCACATATGGCATTAATTTTGATTGTTTATTGTGCATTTTTAACTTTCGAAACTTAATGTCATAATGCTGTGATCGTTTCAGCTGTGGAGTTAACACAAATAAACGCTCGATACCGTATGGCTTCTAATACGAATAGATTATGCAATTGGTGAACGTGTTTATAGGCTGAGATTATAGGATTATGGAAAGTGTGTATTTTACCCAAGAGGTATATCCGATACATTATATGCATCATCATAAGTGTCAGATATACCTAAAATATACAAAACATTATTCACTTGATTCTCCAAGTAGATAAAATTTGTAAACAATGATTCCGGTACACTGTTCATTAATTGTTTTATTCTTTGAATTGCAGCAATATCTGGTGCACTTTCTTTGTAATATCGGATCATTGGTAATGTTTTAAATATTCAGTTTCAGTTCTCTGTCGTGTATATTCCCGATGTTCTAAAGCAATCGCATAAAAAGACTCTCGTACGGCCCTATTTCTATATGTAGGTCTACTTCCGTAACATTGCTTAAGCATTACCTAATTTAGACTTAAAGAAAGGGTGTGACACAGTGGTGGCTCCAACTTACTGGAGCTTCGGACATGGTGGGGTTCAGGGGAATGGCTTATGGCCAAATTTGTGCTTTTAGACCACATTAGAGATTGGCAATCACAAAATACTAATTTTGGATAGGTAAATTAATATTTTTAATTTGACGTACTTGTCGTGGCGTCGACAAGGGTCCATGCCTTTCGAAGAAGGGGTTGGCATGCCTTTCGAAGAAGGGGTTGGCATGCCTTTCGAAGAAGGGGTTGGCATGCCTTTCGAAGAAGGGTTGGGGAGGCAGATTATTCCTGACATCGCTGCAGCGGCGCCATCAATATCCTGACGTACGGTACGGTACCTTATCGTATCCCTTGGTATGGGTTGGAATCCCAATTTACCTAAATATAATCAGCCAATAATCTCCGAAAATTAACTTCAATTCGAAGGGAATTAAACTACCTCCCAAAACTGAAAAAATGCAATTCATTTTGGCCTGTTTAAGTCTTTGGGCTTGAACCTATTTATGATCCGTGGTTTGGTTACAGATTTTCTCTGTTCGGACGCATGGACCAGAAACGACTGGTTATTGTAAGCTTGAGTGTTACATTGCCTATCGTATTGCACTTATAGAAAAAGAGGGCGGAGAAACTGCTGAATAGACAGCGTCATCCAATAATATCGATCAACGTAGTGTGATCGCACGCTTGATCAACGCACATAACTTTTTGAGTAGACGACAATTGCAAAGCTACCTTCACCGAGCGCACGAAACGTGCATTCTGCTAAACGTCATATAGGCCTATGGTGAGAAAATTGCACTCGTTTGATAACCAACTTTTGGAGTTATGAGCGTTTTTTAGGGTTTAATACTTCCGGAAATACGATATTATATTCCATCGTATTTGAATTCCTGTCCGATTATAATGGATTAGTATTTTGTGCTAATATGCGTGACAGTTTTTGAATCGAGATCACAAAAGTAGCGGAAAAAACCTCAGAATATCATGAATTTTCAGCTGTGAATGTTTAATAGGGAATAAGTTACAAGGAAATGATTGATGTCTTATTAGGCTATCGTTCTAAATTTTCAATCAATAATCGTTTTCGTAACAATGTTGACGGGGATATTATTAGCGAATCGCTCTGTTTTTGTGGCCTTGCAGAAAGGTATTCAATTTAATTAAGATCAGCGAATGAACACATACATAATTAAAAAAGCGTAATCCTGTTGATATCACCGACTGATCTGCGACTTGGAGAAGACTACCAAAATAAGTTTGGTACATAGTTTCTGGAACGTGAGAAATCTTCTACCTAGTCATATTTGCTGACCACTCGTGGTTTTCTTTCTTTACAGTGTCAAGACAAAACCAACTAAAGTGGCATTTTGCAAAAAGTATATGCCCTACACACATCGTATAGGCCTTAAAGATGTGGCCGTCAACTTGATATCACAAACGTACTTTTCCCCCACAAAAGGTAAGTATACGTATTTCTTTTACAAGACAACGCTGCATTCTTACAGTATGTTTGTAGCTTGTTTTTAAAATGAACGGCCATAAGACATGAATATGCAATTGCTACACAAAAAAAATAAATAAATAAAAGGAAGTCAACGCTCCAGAAGTACCGGGTTGGTGTCCGGCGGAGGATAGTTTTCCACCAAAGTTTTAACTGCTGTTTATTTTGTTGTACTGTGATGGTTACTTTTGTTGTTGTTATTGTAATATGTGTTTGCAGGACCATATTGTAAAACAGCGGTAAGATCTCGCCTGTATATGTTATCCTGCCTAAAGATGTTTTAAATAAAATAAATAAAAAAAAAAAATAGATGAACATTTTACGAAAATAGAACTTTCGTAACCTTAACAAATAATCCGGATACGCCTATTTTAATAATTTGATTAGAAATAAGGAAACTTATCAAGTCTGTCTAGTCTACAATTATGAATAGCTCTGCATAATAAATCCATGTCTTTTTAAATAAATGCCTTAATTTCATGTCCTAATAATCATGTGCAGGGATAGAGAACTGTTCATACTGTAATAACGCAATTTGTCAATTTCAGTTTTGCTGCACCTCTATAACGTTGTCGAAAAATCTACTTGCATTAACGGCCATTCAGTTAATATAATTGCTTGGTCACATGAAAAGATTGACGTGTCCAGAATTTCTATCAGGTATATTACTTTTACAAGATACTGTACAAGAAAATTTTTTCTGATATCTTGTGGAGAAAATATGGTGTCGTATGATTTGGAAAATTGTAACATACGGTAATTTTGAAAGGCAATTTCCTCTTCTGGCATTGCTAATCCCGAGGAGTTGTGTACAGTAGTAACTATTGATAACGTTCTGAAATCAATTTTAGATAAACATGCTCCAATTCGTTTCTAAAGTAACGTTGAACACATCACAGTCATGTGTGAATAATGACATTCTCGTTGCCCATCGTCGTGTAACAGAAGCAACTTAGAAAGTCGGATCTTATTTCTTTGTCGTTATTCACGCCAGCAATTAAAGTTAACAAGTTAATCATAACCCGGCCGCATTCTCATCTTTTATCCCCATTTTCTTCATATAATAATGTAGTGATAATAATATCAGCAATGATGATGATAATAGTAATGATGATGGTGATAATATTATATTATATTATATTATATTTCCGTATATTATATTATATTATATTATATTATATTATATTATAATAGTAAAACAATTATTCCGGGATTTACATTCGATTAATAAATATTAAACGTGTTTTTTTCACATGGTCCATAATTCCTAAACGGGTTTAAGCTCCATTAAAAAAAATATATGATAAAATATTATTTTGACTCGAATAAAAATTTGTCTTTACAGAATTGAGAAAGATAGTGAAACACGCTACGTTACTCTAACTGAAGAGGATCGTCACAATGCCAGATTTTGAAAACATGGACGCCACGTCTCCAATCAAAATCAAAATTCAAGAATTTGCTAAAAACTTTGATTCATTTGATCCTCCCGCAAGGGCGCCCGTAATAAAGGTAACAACAGATCTATTAGAGGTTATACACGAAGACAGAGAGAGTGAAATGACGAGGCTAAAGTTTGTCGCGAAAAAACTAAATCTTGCAACCAGAAGACCATCATATATGAAATGGCTTGAAGACTTGAAAAAACCAGCTCTTGCTGATTTGAATAAAGAAGGTGAAGTAAGAAACGAAAATAAAGACTATGGAGAAAGGAAACGAGAAGTTGAGGAGGGAATATCGTGGCTAAGAAGTGAATTGGTACGTTTATGTGTTTTAACTTCTTTTTCTTTATTATTTATTTCAGACCGACCCTTCCCACAGATGTAGGATATACCGGTAATATACCGTACCAGTATTCCTTTTACCTAGAACAATAATCTCAATTTCTACCCTTCCAAACCTTGAGCACTTTAAATCTGGAATTCAACCTTAATTAGGAGTTATTACAAGCAAACACACTAATGCACCCTCATGGCGTCATGATCGTTGATCGTCCGTCGTTGTCATGTCCAACAATGAAGATGAAGATGGAAGTTACATTTATTACGTTACAACACAATGATGTGATAGTCATGTTAAGGAGTTAAATTGCGTATTGTATATGACTCAAACCTGAGACCTTTCACACGAATGTCATATGATATAACTTCTAGACCACGAAGGCTTCTGTGGTGCCAGTAGCGACTGAAAACCCTATTTATTCATACTTGGGATTAGCGCTAATCTTCACATGAACGAGATGGTCAGCGATCTAAATTTTCAGCCAAGCAATAAAAACGGCAAAATTGCACCTCGAAAGAGGTACCTTTAATACTTTTATAATGGGATATTGGTAACACACAGAAACAACAAGCCGGATAATGCATGAATAAAAATCTGTGAGGCAATTAATTTCACACTGTATGCGTGCGACTACAAAACGA